CCATCTTATAAACGATGTACTCTTAATTCTGTTCCCGCTACAGCAAATCTTCTCAGCAAATCCAGATTACCATTTGGTGGTAAATTAATAGGTGGTGGTGGAGCATCCAGGTCTCCGACATTTGGCGGAGTACCGATCAAGTTAACGGTAATCAATTGAGCCTTTATTCAAAATATGATCGATTTTGTAAATTAATCCTATCAGATCGAAATTTGCGCGAAAATAGTTTTATGCACCTGTGAATGTCCCCCGAGATTCATATTGTTTAACTGACTCGTCAAACCACCCATTGAAGCGTTCATTGCAGGTTGTTGTGGATATTGTTGAGAATAATGAGCGGGCGTCATCGAAGGCATCGCTGCCTGATAATTCTGATCTCCAGCTGGTGTAAAGAATTGTGGCTGCTGGTACGCATTCTGCTCAATGGCTGGTGGTTGTATCTGCTGCCCAATGCCACCGGGTGCCACTGCAGGAGTAAAAGTCTGATATGGTCCACCGTACGTGTTAGAATCTGTATAGACTTCCGAGATTTGCTTCGGATATAAACGTTTCGGTTTATGACTTGTCGAGGGCGGTGTTTGAGAACGTTGACCTGTTGGAGATTCTGGACTCTCTACAGGTAGTGGTGGTGATGTCGAATTTGCTGGCATTGCTTGATAGTTAGGACCCATAGTTGTTTGATTGGGATATGATAAAGGACGTCCCGAAGAGGTTTGCGGTAAATTTCCAGGCCTGAAGGCTGGAGAAACGGTTGGCCTTATTCCTGATTGAGGTGGAATGGCAGGCTGTCCAGGAGACATTCCTGGAGGCGCACCAGTATATGGAGCCTGAGCAGAAGAAGGGCGATAACCTGCTGGTAAGGGTGGCGATGGACTCATACCGGGCATTGGAGGTCGCGTTTGAGGATTAATTCCACCAGGAGGTCCATAGGGAGCAATAGGTCTTTGATTGACAGATGCACCACCAGGGCCAAGAGGTGTAGATTGATATGGAGAAGGTCCTCTTTGTATTTGCTGTATTTGCTGGTTGGGATCTGTAGCCTGCATCGGGCGAGAATTTGGAGGCGAAGAAGGAGGGCGGGATAGGGGAGACTGGCTAGGTGGAATGTTGGACATTTTTTACGTGTGTAGAATTAAAGCGTCGAATTTACATAAAGCAAAATGTATTCGGAACGCAAGTCACAGCCGACAAATTGTTCGATTTCCGGCAGCTCTAAGAGAAGTGTCAACCTATCAAATTTGCCCAAGTGGCATAGAATACTTTTCCCACGGACATATTCTATCTAGTCTTACTATTTATGGAACAACCAGATAACGATAAATGTTCGTATACGTACTGATTTAAAAATCTCGAAAATTTTTTAAATACTTTTTTTGGATTTCTTTTAAATGTACGTATAATAATGAAAATTTTTCATTTACTTACCAAAAGTATCAAGCAACCTGCATACGTAGAATAAAATTTAAATTTTTTATGCTACTTTAAAGCTTAAATAAAAATATATTTATTTGATAATGTATTAATATTTTAGTTAGACTATATACTGTAATACTGTATCAGGTTTGAATATTAGTTAAATTAATAACATAATACTTTTTTATTAATAACACTAACTCTAAACATTAACCTAATTGTAAAAAAAAAAAAAAAAAGCTACAAAAAAAAAATCAAAAATTTTATAATTTTATAATAAGACACTGTAATATAGCAATACAGGGTCTTAGTAAAGCTATACTACTTGACTTAACATGTAAGAGGGTTAAGAAATGTGTT